ATATCCTTTTTCTGTTACTCTGTTATTTAAATCTTTAACAAAATTCAGTTATGTGAAAATAATGTGACTATGAAATGAGAGAAAGAGAGGAAAATCATTCTCATTTCTCACCAATATACATTTTGTCTCAAAATTCATATCAAATTATAACTGTATTAGATTAAAACAAAATGTAGATTGTGAACGATTGAGAATATAAATTAAGATTTTGCATAAATTGAAATTGTGAAATTCTGTTTTTCACAGTAACACAATCTTCTATCAATTTCTCTTCCTTTCTCTTCGATTTCTCTATTGTCTTTTTTCTTTCAAAAACTCTATTTTCTTGTCTCTTCGTTCCAATTTTCTACATAAAAATACATACACACACATACTATATTATATAATTCTTACATGCTTATCATGTGAGACAAAGTATGTATTTGTGAAAAATATAGATGATTTTCTTCTTTTACCATCATTTTATAGTCACATTCTTGTTACATTACTAGGTTCTGTTAAAAAAATTAAACAATGGAATAACAGAAGTGGACATTGACACTTGTATAAGAATTAAAGTAAGATATGACCAAAAGTGTAAAGATTGATTATTACGATTTCATATGTAAAGATCAAAATGAGATTTAATTAAAAGTGTCTGTGATTGACTATCATAATTTTATCTATAGATATTAAAATGAAATTTTATATAAAGTGTAATTTACCCATATCAAATGTGAAGTGTAATATTTTGTCCAATCTTTTGTAACGTAAACAGTTTCAGGGTTAAGTCAAAAGGTTAGATTGACGAATATCGTGTAGTGGGTCCACACAATTTGCCCATGCTAGTACGCAATTATTCATGAAAAACGTGAATATGGAAAAGGAAAGGAAAAAAAAAAAAAAATGATTAAGTTACATAAATTTTTATTTAAAAAAATATTATAAAATGGAATCACAGTAATATTTTTATATATATTTTTAAAACTTATATAAAATGACATTATAGTGATATTTTTATAATTATAAACTAAAATGACCAATTTTTGTTTTCTAATTAATGAATGTAAACAAGTCACATTATTTTCTAAAAGATATTTATTTATTAATTTTATATGTATAATATTATCTAAAAAAAACTTAAAGAATGTAATTATTTAGTTATTGAAAGGTTCTTAAAATAAAAAATAACACTGTATTTTAAAAAGGAGAGATATTCAATCTTCAACTTTAAAATAATAAACACCCTGTCACATTTGTTTGACGAATTAGGTTGAATGAGATTGCTAGTGAGAAGATGGTTAGTAAAGAGATTATTAGTGAAGGAATTATTAATGAGAGAATGAAATAAAAATGTATTTATTTTAATGATAATATGAAAAATGATTAGTGAAGAAATAAAATAAAAAATTTACAAACACACAATAAATAAATAAATAAATAAATAAACGCCTTGAATACTGTGTCATGGGATTGGTTTGTCAATCCCACCTGTATTGAAGGCATCCCAATCCCACCACTTTCTAGGACAACAATCCCCTTGGAGTAGAGTGATAATCCTAGAGCCCATAAACCAAACAAACAAGATATACGTGGGTCCACTTCAATCCTAAGCCAATCTCACCCATGAATCCGGATAACAAACATGACCTAAATGTACCGAACACTTTTACTCTTGTTTATTTTGGAGTTAAATAGATGGGAGAGGATTAAGATAGAGGTGGGGTTATTGAGTGTTGTGTTTATTTGTAGAGTTGGGAAAGGGATTGGGATGGAGGAGGTGATATAAATGGAGATTAGAAGGGGGATTGAGATGAAGGAGATAGTATTAGAAAAATAGTGAGGGGATTAGAAATTTTTTTATTTTTTATATATTGGGATTTTTTAAAAAAATATTAATGTTTAATTTTTTATATTTTTATATTTGTTTTAGTATTTTATATAAAAATAATTTAACAATTCCTACACTAACAACTATCATCAAAACAAATACAATTTTACTTTACATTAATGTTTGAGACCCCCTTTTCCCCCACCCCCTTTGACCCCCTCTCTTTTTGATTGGCTACTTTTTCTTTTGGCTTTTTTTTTTTTTCCTTCTCTTCCAATCACCACCCGCCACGTTTGTGTGGGGTGGTGGGGGTGGTGATTGAAAGGGGTCTCTATCAATGCTCTTTACTTTATCCCCTCACTAACAATCTCCTCACTATTAATCCCTCACTATGAATCTCTTTCATTCTATATCTGAAAACAAACGAGGCATTAGAGTTGACGGCTACAAAATGTATCATTTTATGTTGTAATTGTTGATATTATATTTTTGAATTTATGTTTTTAGGAGTAATTAACAAACTAAACAGTTCGAACTCGACTAGAGTTTGATTTATTAAAATTCTGTTTGAGATCAGTTCGATGAGAAAATAAGTTGAGTTTGAACATATTTTGGAATTTGTTAAAATTTTTAAATCAAATTTGAACAGTCAATTGCTTATTCAGCTCAGTTTAATAAATTTAAAACTCTATAAAAATATCAAATTACTCGAGTTTAGCTCGACAAAAAATTCATTTGAGATCAGCTCGCAAGTTTAACTAATCAAACTTAAAAAAAAAATTAAAATTGGTTAAAGATTTTAAACTAAACTTAAACAGTTAATTCTTCAATTTGATTCTCACCCTAATTTTAATTGAATTATCTTAATACTTAATACTTAATACTTCAACTTGATATAATTGTCTTCATATTTATATATGTAAAATATTCTTCTAGCTGTTAAAAAAAAGAAAAATGATTTAGACCCCCAATGGGGGTGCTGGGAGTCTTTCCTAATTGGTAAAAAAATTGATTTTTTTTTTTTTTTGAGGGGGGTTTCAGCCAGTGGCAGGCTGTCACGTGGCACTGGAAGGTCATTGGGAGTGCCCCCAGTTGGGGGTCGGAAGCACTGCTGTTAAAAAAATTGTATTATTTTTGCCAGTAATGCTAGAGGCCTCGAATACGAGGCCTCGAATTTGGCTCGAATGCCGTTTTTTTTTTGGTGTGTGTCACTTAATTTTTTTTTATTTTGTTTTGTTTTGTTTTTTTTTTAAGGGTGAGTTAAAATGTCTAATATAAAATATTAGACATTTCGCACCAACTCATTGTATAAAATTATATGAGATTAACAAAATTTAACTAACAGCTTAACTGATCAATTAATTTTATCACTTAACCAGTCCAACTTAATTGACTGATCAATTAGACTGTTGGTTAAAATTTATTAATTCCATATAATTTTGTACGATGAGTTGGTGTGGGATGTCTAATTTTTTGATACACCCCTACACATAACCACCTTTAAAAAAAAAAAAAAACCAGCACAGCCTAACAAATAAAAAATAAATAATTGAACAGTCAATTTTATCACCCAATCATTTTAAGGCTCCATTTGGCAAGAGCTAAACGGGACTTTTTTTTGGCTATTTTAGTCACAAAAGACAAAATAAGCTATTTTAGTCACAAAAAATAAAATATCACATCCAATCCATAATCATTACATTCTTCTCTCACAAAAAAAGCAAAAAAAGTCAAAAAGTCAAAAAACCCTTCCCAAACCAAACTTTTTAGCCCAGGCTAAAATAGTCAAAAAAGCCAAAAAATCAAAAAGCCAACCCACTTCTCAAACGGAGGCTAACCCAATTCACTTGCAAAATGTCTAATTTTTTAACACACTCCTATACATAATCACCCTTACAAAAAGAAATGAAAAGAAACGAGAGGAAAAAAAAAAAAAACCAAACTAACACAGCTTTAGAAAGGAAAAAAAAAAAAAATCAAATTCGAGACCTCAAGCATTAAGAGTAATGCTATATAGACCACTAATTTACCATCACTAATACCACTACTAATGAGGTGACAATTAAAAATAAAAAAAAATAAGGCACAAAACACATGTGATAGTGACTGCCATATCATTAGAACCACCACTAATTAGTGGTTTAAAACATTTTTTGCAAGCATTAATCTATTTCAGCAGAGGGTTGGATAGTAAAGGTTTTATTTATTATTTTACTATTATTATTATTATTATTTTTTGGGTCTAGTTCCTTGGAATTCATAATAGCGGGATCCTTCTCTCAACTGAGGTAGGGTGTATGTATGGATTAAGTAGCGAACAACTTTTCAATCGATAAAGTGCCAAAAGATGCTATATTTAAATTAAAAAAATGTTAATATTAGTCACCCTTTCATTTTTCTCAATATTAAAGGTTTATCATTTTCAAAAATTTTAAAAAAAAAATTGTGCACATTTTGTCTCTTTGAAACCTTCCAATAACTAAACACAGCCCTTGTTTTCCCTTTGTTTTTCTATTTGAGTAAGGGTAGGAATTATAAAAAAAATATCATAAAATAATTATAAATTTTTTTCACTTTTAAATTATATACATAATAAAACATTACACACTAATTAAAAGATAATTTTTTTTTATAATATATTTCATGATTTTTTTTCATAATTCTTAATATTATTCTTTCAAAAAATGCTTTAGACTACTAATTCAATAAACCAACTTTCATTTTTAGTGGTGTATTTTAGTGGATTATTGTGTGTATAATCTTTTGGAAGAATTTTATACACATCACCATTATACCTTAACACATCACTAATTCGAAAAATGTTTTAGACTACTAATCAAATCAGCTTTCGAAAAATGATTTTTTTCATAATTCTTAATATTATTTTTATCGAAATGAAGATTTTACCCTTAAAATTATGTAATGATATATTCAATCATTCTTATTTAGAATGAGATTTAAAATTTAGGATCAAATATATTATAATTGAAAAGTTAAGAACCAAAGTGATACGAATCTCAACCTATAAAGATTGTTAGTGTAATTTGCCCTAATTTTAAAATGTGGGTTGTAAAAAATAAAAATAAAAATAAATAAAATATAAATATAAATATAAAATTGAAAGTAACGAAAAAGACCACTATGGCCCTTTCTCTCTGTCTATATAAGATCCGTTGTCTCTCCTCCTTTAAGCCCAACCAAACGCCTCCATTCTCTCTCTCTCTCTCTCTCTCTCTCTCTCTCTCTCTCTCTCCGCATTTTATTTTCTGTAGAGGCTTCGGCGAGCTCGTTCTACTCGAACTGGCTAACCAACAAGAAAGTCTGGAGGAGTCCAACAATCAAAGGGTGGTGCTCGCCCTATATGAAGCCCTGACCTCTCGAGACGTCGACACCGTTCACAAACTCTTGGCCTCCGACCTCGAGTGGTGGTTCCATGGCCCTCCTTCGCACCAGTTTATGATGCGCCTCCTCACCGGCACTGCCACGTCTGACATCGATTCTTTCGATTTCGTCCCCCACTCCGTCACCGCCTTCGGATCAACGGTACTCGTCGAGGGCTACGATCACAACTGCTCAATCTCTTGGGTCCACGCCTGGACCGTCACTGATGGGATAATTACCCAGGTCAGAGAGTACTTCAATACCTCCCTTACTGTCACCCGCCTCGCCAACACTGGCAAATCCTCACCGTCCGATTTCCCCTCATCGTCGATCACTTCCCTCCATTGCCCCTCCGTTTGGGAGAGCAGTCTGTCGGATCGGGTCGGGAAATCCGTGCCTGGTCTCGTGCTGGCAATATAAAGTCGTGTGTGTTTTTTTTCCTGATCAGGTGCAGCAGGGTGTAGTGTAATATTATAGCATATGGGCTGAATGAACATTTAATGGATGGAGGGTCTGTGACAATGTAAGAAATAAATAGGGTGTGAAGCGTGTTTGTCTTTGGTTGTCTGCGTTGTCTTGTGTTTTTTTTCTTTTTTATTTCTTTTCTTTGTTTTTATTTTTTTTATTGGGTTTAGGAGTGCGATTGCTTGGTCGTAGTGTTTTGTGGGTTAAGTTTGACTGTTGTAAGGTAAGTGAGCCGATCATGATGTGGTCATTTCCTGATGTGTCTGTTATGTGGTTTGTTGGTTGTGCAATAAAATTATTTTCATGTGACTGGTTTATTAATTTTCTCATATTTTACTGAAAAATTTACAAAGTAATATGTCACCTTTAAAATAATTATATTAAAGATGATTTTTTTTTTTGGTATGTACAAATCTTGCATACATGAAAGACTTGTATCATATACATAAAAATAACTTGTAACAACACAAATTAAATTATTTTTTCAATGTCCGATTGAAATGATAATTTTCCCATTTTATTTATCTTCCAAACTTGTATTATTTGGACTAATTCAATATATTCTGTCTAATCTCTCATTTTTTTGTCTAATCTCATTGATTATCCTAAAAAAAGATTACTTGTATTTAGAGAGATAATATTATATAAACATTATAAATTAACTAAGGCCTCATTTGGGAACAGACTAATTTAGTAATTTTTTGGTTATTTGGTTAAAATATGAGCTAAAAAAAATTAGTATATTTGGGATGATTTTTTGATTTTTTAGAAAAAGATGTGCAAAAAATAGAGAGAAAAGAGAATTTTTGACTTTTTAGTATGGATTATTGACTTTTTGATTAATTCAGTAACTTTTTAACTTTTTAATTAAAAAGAAGAGTTCTCAAACGAGGCCAAAGTGTCCCAAAGGCACAAGGGAAAAAAATGTAAAACTCAATGCATTTTTTTATGAAATTTTCATCACATTTTCACTCAATTCAAAACTTTTATCGACATTTTTATCTTTTTCAAAATATTATTTACATAAATTTTAATATTAAATAATGCCAATCAACCAAGGAATAATTATTAAGCATAACTGACTATGTTTCAATATCACAAGTTTCTTACATTTATTTCAAGCAAGAAATTTCGGTTTAGAATCGACTTGGATGGCAGCATTGCATTAAAGTAATGATGGGCTCACTTCGTCGTACTATGACATCGATTAGATATTTGAGTTTTGGTAAATTATAGTGATTTTCTTGAAATTAAAAAAAAAATTATATTGTGTGGTACAATTCTAACTTAAATTATAGGACACTCGGTCTATAAATCTAAAGTCAAATTTTGTTTGGTAAAAAATTCACTCTCTAAAATAATTTGTTCATAAGGACACGCTTAAGCAAAATGACCAAAATTACATATATATATATATATATATATATTGTGTGGGTGATTTTCTTATCACACTTCCCGCCTAGTAATCAACTGGAGAGCACCAGCAGAATAAATGGCTTCAACAAATCTGTAACAGAAAGAAAAGACTCTGGCGGTGGCTCTTTCACCCGGAGGCACTCTGATGATCAAGTCAGTATATCTCTCAAAGATAATCAAGTGCTAAACTCACTACTCAAGGCATAAAACTGCGTACCTTAGACCCACGGGGGTGCCTCTCTTTTATAGTTTACTCAATCCTAGTCCCACTAGAAGCTTGACTTCTATGGACTCCAATTCTGTACTTACTTTGGATTTCTTGAAGAGATAAAGATAAACTCCCTAAGAGCTTTATCCTTATCTTAGCAAAGTCTTCTCTTTACTCTAGGACTCTTGCCCCTTATCCTTTATCCGCTTATCTCGGATTCCGATATCTTTGGAGATAACCTCAGCCTCGCCGAGATAACCTCGGCGTCACAACCAGAACATGTGGCACTTCGGTTGACACGTCGGCGTCACCTTGCCACGTGTTGGTATTCAGAAAATACATCCCCACAACTGCCCCCTAGGTTCTATTACCTCGGCATTCTGAGGTGATGGAACCTATATCTGTATTTTCTTCCAGTAAATCGGCTTAAGATTTGACAGCCGAGATCATTCATTTCTGGCCGACATGCTTTCCCTAAAAAATCAAAGATTTTTAAGGAACTTTTTACGCGCATGAGCTGTCATGCACTTCAATTCAACCGTTTTAGACACTCGTTTCATCTTTATTGGTCCGTGCCTGTAACGCGCTTGTAAGTCGTCTTAATCTGTCTGCGCCGTCTGACGTATGCGTTTTTCCAGGCGCAGTAAATGCCTTATTTTGCCGCTGTTTCACGTTTTCAACAAAAACACTACCTTTGCCTTCGTCTCTTCACTTTGCGCTTTGATTTACTTGCTTTTTCTCTCTCTAAGCTCTGTCTCTCGAATCCGCCATTGTTCAAGCTCCAGGCTCTGCAACTTTATTCGTCTCTCTGGTGAGGCTCTCGCTACTTCGTCACTTCTGTAATCGTCGTCTGTCTTCGGCGAACTTCATTCCAGCTTCAATTTCTCTGGTAAGCCACTATTCTTTATGTATTCAGTTTACTGATGTTCTTCTATCTTCTTGCTGCCATTACTGTTCTGTTTAAACTGTTAATTCCGTGAATCATATTTATTGTTCACTACTTCTTGCATTTTTACCACTGTTCTTGGCCCTGTAGTTCTTGTTTTCTTTATGCTTTTGAAACCCCACTTCTGTTCTTCATTCTGAAACTGCGTTCTGGTTTCTTTTTCCTGTGTTGTTTTCCAGATCTCTGCCTTCAATTTTTGCTTTCAATCTTTGCCTTCATAGATTTAGGTTTGGGATTTGTCTATAGAACCTATCAATTCTTAGGAAAAAACTGAAACAGTCCTTACCAGCATATACCTAGGGTTTTGCCGAGGTCTTGATAACCCCTTAAGAGCATCTTTTTTCTGAAACTTAGCCCTCTGATTTTACGCCGACGTTATGGGTATGTGGAGGCACAGGGTAGATACCCCGACCAAACTTTAGTACTTTAGGCAGGAGTTCTCGATCCCTGCCGATGTCCAACTGAGACTGGCTGGGGATGATGACTCCATCATGCCTACAGAAAATGCCATGTCCCTTCCCATTGTAGCTTTTACTGAGTGCGGACTCCGGCTCCCACTCAACATTCTTTTTCGCGAGATCCTTCACTATTATAAGTTGAACCCCATGCAACTGGCAATCAATTCTTATCGAGTGATTTTTGGTATCATCGCCTTAGCTAGGCAGGAGAACGTTAGGATTACCCTTGCCAACATCCAATACTGTTATACCATGTGCGCCCTTAACCTGAAGGAAAAAGGTTACGTCTATTACCTCAAGCCGAGGTCTACTGAATTCAAAATCGTAGGGACCTTCCAGACTCCAACAAGGGGGCTGGAGATGATCATGTTATTGCTTCGAGAAATTGGGAGTTTGGCGCAGACGAGGGCGCCCATCTCTACCCTCTTCCCCGATCAATTAAAGAGGGCAAGGGTAAGAGTCCAGTGTCAATACTTAGTTGTTTCTGTTCAAGTCTTCAATATTTTATCTGTTTCTAATGTCTGTTTCTTCTTGCAGACGTTCGCAAGCCAGCGAAAAACTTCCGCCAATCTTACATTCCTAGTGAGGACCTGAAAAAACTCCTGAACTTGCCAGTTCACAAAAGAAAAGCACCTCTTCTTCTCAACTTCATTCCTACATACAAATCGATTTTGCCCGACGTCCCCAAAAGAAAGAAGAAAAACCTTTCTCCTCCTACTACCACAACTCAAACCGCCTCTACATCAAGAACAGATCAAAAGTCAACATCTGACCCAACCAATCAACCATCTACTTCGGCCTCATACTTGGTCCCAATACAAGAACGAAAACGTCGGTGCAGACTTGTCAAAACTGCTAAGATGGGTCGCCCAAAGCTCGTTGCTCAAGACCTCCTTGCCGATCTCCCTGTTGACGTCGATGCTCAGCCAACGCAAACCATGCCCCCCACCAAAGCCGAAACGAACCAAGAAAGCCCAGCCAAAGGCTAAAGCCACTGAAGTTGAGGCTGAGGATACCCTGACAATCTCACAGTTGGCAGGGAGTGAGAAGACGGCTTCCGTTCCCAAAAAAGGTCTGCTGAGACACAGCCATCAGAGTCCACACAATCAAAGAAGCCGAGGTCATCGTCTGCGACGACCTCGGGGTCCAGAATACCAAAAGTCCCCTGGACGCTTGAAATTACTTTAGAAGATAAGTCTGTTCTTGCCAGCGATAGTGCCGACGACATTAATGTCGGCATAGCACTTAGTACTATCCTACTTCTCCCAGGTGATCTTGAGCGGAATGCCAAGATGAGTGAGTACGAGAACTATGCTTTTATGCTCCAACGTTCAGATAAGTGTCTTTTCGTGGAAACTTGTCTTCTCTTTTACTTTGTAAAATTTTGTAATAATTTTTGCCCTGTGCTCTTTCAGGCCATTCAACATGCCCACTCTCTCTCTTTGCAAGCTTTTGAAAACAGGGCAAAGTTGGCCGACATGAAAAGGGAGGTTTCTGCCCTTAAAAAGGAGAACAAAACTCTTCAATCAAAAATGAAGAAACTGGAAAACCAGGTTGAGGCTGCCACCAAAGCCCAAACCCTAGCCGAAGAAAAGGCCGAATCTGTTGAGGCCATCAAGAAAGTTGTCAAGGCTGAGAAGAGAGAAGCCGAGGACAAAAGGCCCAAGCCGAAAAGGAACTATAGGAGGCCTTGGCCACTAAAGACGCTGAAATCAAAGAGGCGGACGAAAAAGCCTATGCCCAAGGAATGGCCGATGTTACAGAGGAATACAAATTACAAGTTAGGCAGGCATGCAACCGGGGCTTTTCCCTTGGTTAGATGTCCCTGGCCAAAAAGCTCAATATTCCTGAAGATTCACCTCTGCGCAAGGCCGAAGCTATTCCTCTCCCATTCCCTCCTCCTCCTGCACCCTCAAGTCAAGCTGAAGAAGAATCTGAATCTGAGTCTGAAGATGAGGAGGAAGGTGAGGATGGGGTTTTAGTAAGAAAGTCCAAAGAGGCTGTTGGGCCTAAGTCTCCTTCTTTGAATGAGCAGGTCTTGGACCTGACTCAAGATAATGATGGTGATGCAGTTGCCAAGGAAATTACTCCTAAACAGGCCTCATCTGACGTTCCTCCAGCCGAAAAAAGTCTTGACGAAACCCTTGCGCAGATTGACGCCGAAATCGAGGCGGAAAAAACTGCCGAAGTAGCTTTCCAGGAATCAGCCGAGGTAGTTCTCCAAGAGTCGGTTGAGGTCCAGTCTCAAATTGCTCCTGAAGTAGAAGAATCATAACTTTGATGTTTGTCTTTT